ATATTGCCACTCGCATTCATAGCGTAAGAATTTCATTGTTTGATAGCATGGAAAAGTGCTAACCTCTGTCTTTCGTTACCAGGATAGCGTCATACGAATCTTTCCATACCGAACTTTTAGCGAAATCATTCACCTGGGAATAGTATCACTGCTAAAGAGTTTGCTCTTTTTGCGGACAGGTAAGAACACTTTTATTAAATTTCGGCAAAGTAATTGACATTGTTTCCTTCAAACAGACTTGAATGAGCAGTTATTTGCGGAGCTGGACGAGTTCATCAAGACACTGTACTACCAGATTGAGCTGGCCAACAAAACTCAGCCTACTGACTCCAACTCGAAGAAGGCACTGAAGCTGAACATTCTCACCAATGCCATCTGCCTGGACCTGCTGGTCTGGTTCGCCAAGGACGAGTTCACCGCGGACAACCTCTGCCAGCGCATCGCCGAGAAGATCAACACCGGCCATGGCCACCGCCTGGTGATCACCCAGCTGCCCATCTTCCTCGCCTGCCTCAACGGCGTCGGCTACCTGGTGCAGAAGTTCCCCATCATCGCCGTGAGCGGCATCACCGTGCTGCGCAACTTTCTCACCACGCCCTCGCCCGTCCTCCTGAAGCTTTTCAACCAGCGCCAGAGCGAGCCGGCGATGATGGACGCGCTGAACATCACCATCAACGAGTACAACCTCAAGCTGAACAACTACTCGGTGACGGACAAGACCTCCTGTTCGCTGCTCTTCAACCGCCTGCGCGACTGCGCCATCGAGAACCTGTGCACCTGTCTGCGCTACGGCCTGCAGAGTGACTCGCACTGCATCCAGGCGACCGTCGCCTCCATCTCCAACCACCTCTACACGGCGGAGAAGAGCCCCCGAGAGTGCATGGTCATCTCCATCAACACCATCGTCACGCTGGGGCAGATGTCCACGCGGCTGAAGGACCTGCCGCAGACGATGGAGATCATACTGCAGTTTCTCCAGCAGCGCTTCTGTCAACCGGTTTCCAACCTGGACCAGCTGATTGTCGACCAGCTCAGCGAGATGGCCATTACCAGCGGCACCAACAGTACCATCTACGAGCAGGTGATGAAGATGTTCACCACCATTACCATTCAGTCCAGTGCCGCCTACACCAACAACATTGACGACCGAAAGCAGAGCTACCGGCACGTCTCCCTGGCGGTCATCAACGCCTTCAGCAACATTGGCCTGCGAGTGCAGGGCGAAAATGAGCTGGTTGAGCTGCTCGGCCGTCTGCTGGAGTTGTTTGTGCAGCTTGGGCTGGAGGGCAAACGGGCGAATGAGAAGAACCCTGCCCTGGTGAAGGCGTCCACCAGCGCCGGCAACTTGGGCGTGCTCATTCCCGTCATTGCCATCACAATGCGTCGCATGCCCTTCCTGGAGAATCCGAAGCCTCGGCTGCGTCGACTTTTCCGCGACTTTTGGCTGTACTGCGTGGTGATGGGCTTCTCCTCGGGGACGCAGCTCTGGCCCAACGACTGGTACCACGGGGTGAAGGAGATCGCCGCCAAGTCGCCCATTCTCAAGTCGCAGGAGCACCTTCGCTCCGAGCTGCACTTCAACTCGGCCATTCGCAATGACGCCGTCTCTGGTGTTGAGCTGCAGGAGATTCGAAATCAGATCATCAACGACCTGGACAACAACAGCGAAGTGTCCATCATCATCAACAAGATGACCTTCGCCCAGTGCACCTACCTGCTCTCCATCTGCCGCCTGGAGGTGTTTCGAGTGGAGACCAACTTTTCCCTGAATCCCTTCTACACCATCTTTCAGTACCTGGAGGACCAGTACATTCTCAAGGACAAGGACGGCATGTGGCAGTGCATCTCCTTTATCTGTGAGAAAATCTTCAAGTGCTTCCTGGAGATTATCGCCAAGAAGCCAAAGAACAAAACTCGCGACAGTGAGCTGGAGGAGTACGCCATTCTACTGCTGATTAAGTTTAACCATCGCCAGAAGCAAATTCGTCGTGCGGCCGATCGCTTTCTCTCCGGTCTGGTGGATAAGTTCCCCCACATTCTGTGGAGTAAACGGGTCCTCTCGACGATGCTCAACATTCTCGAGGTGCTCGGCCGAGCGCTAGAGCTGAACCAGAATGAGGGCATTGTGGAGATGCCAGTGCCGGACATTAGCTACACCATTCAGCTGGCAGAGACGGTGGAGTCGCGCGAGAACATTGTCCGCGACTTTGGCGCTCGCTGTGAGGGCATCATTCATGAGGCGGTGAAGTGGGCGCCACACATCACCCGATCCCATCTGCAGGAGTACATGACGCAGATGCGCACCGCCAAGGACGGCTTCAAGCAGCACAGTGGACTGTCCATGGCAGTGCAGTCCATCACCTCTTTTTCCAACCAAAGCGACGACGGCGCCGTGGTGGCCGGCGTCGTCGGCACGGCCCAGGACAAGGTGCCCTACTTTATTCGCAACAACTGCTCGGAGATTGTCTCGACGACGAACATTCGCACCTACTACCTGGGGGAGATCTCGGGCATGCTCGCCTCCTACAAGGACACAGACACACTGGCACGACGGCGAGTCTCCAAGGCGCTCATTGCCGAGTTCAAGGCGAGCTGCGAGCGGCGAGACATTGACCTGCACCAGCGGAGCATCTACCGCATCACCGCGATGATCATCGCCTCGCCCGAGTGCGACTTGCAGCTCTTTCACATGCTCTGCTGGGCGCCAGTGTACCTCTTCTCCCACCAGACGATCTACTCGGTGATCTCCTCCTGGAAGTGGCTCCTCTCTGCCCGCTCCGACCTCGAGCTGCGGTTCATCAAGGAGATGACCTCCGCCTGGGTGGTCACCTGCGACAAGAAGATGGGCCTCTTTGCCGCCGATCCGCCCAACGTGGAGCCGCTCTCGTCGAGCAACGACGCCGAGCTGAAGCCGGACACGCCCTACCTGGGGGCGCACTGCGAGTGGGTCAAGTTCCTCCACGAGCGCATTGAAATTGCCAAGTACTCGTCGCTGGATCAAGTGGAGGTCTTCGTCTACCTCCTTCACCGATCGCTGCACATGAACGTCGGCCATATGCACTACAGCTCGCGCAACATCTCCACCATTGGCACCCGATTTCGTCTGCTGAACTGCGGCCTCAGCCTCGTTCAGGGCGACACACTGCTCAACTCGGTGAGCAAGTTTGTTCTACGGGAGCGCATCTACTCNACATCTCCACCATTGGCACCCGATTTCGTCTGCTGAACTGCGGCCTCAGCCTCGTTCAGGGCGACACACTGCTCAACTCGGTGAGCAAGTTTGTTCTACGGGAGCGCATCTACTCGGCGGCAATTGATTACTTTTGGTAATAAGGCTTCTAACAATTCTGTGAAACCCAACTTTAATGTTTCGTTTTTCCCCCTTCTAGTGGACCTCAAATTTGCCCCTCACAGCAGGGCGCTGAACTTCGCGAAGACATTCAATCGCTGGTCAAGTTTTGGCAGAGTCTGATGGCTGACAAAAAGTACCTGAAGACTACCTACGTTGCCGACCTGGCCGCCGACAATGTGTCGCAGATTCACCTCAGTGCTGACTTCCGAGGCAGTATGGACTTTAACACGGTGAACAATGCCCGCATCACGCCCACGGGGTGGATCAACACTGTTCCACTGAGCAGCAATGTCTCCACTATATCAAAGCGCTCTTCCGGCTTCAAGGGCTCGCAGTTTACGAAGAATAAGGAGAACAACTACGCCGACTGCTTCCTCAAGGACTACATTCGAAAGCGCAACCTGATTCTGACCTTGATGGCAATTGAAATTGAGTCACTCATCACCTGGTACAATCCACTCGGTCTGCCCGACCTGACCATAGCCGGGGAGGAGTCGGTTCAGAAGTGGCGTGCTCAGCCAACCAATGAGCGTAGTCTCAAGGAAACGGTTCGACTCGCCTGGAACATTTCGCCCAATCTGGCGGTCTTTTTGCCCTCCCGTTTCAAGAATGTGGAGATTGTTCAGGAGATCACCCGACTAGTGCAGCTCTCGCCAATGACTGTGTGCCACATTCCCGAAGCCATCGAGTACCTGGTCACTTCGGAGCTCATTCTCAGAGATGGAACTGAGGTATTGTTTGAGTGGCTTTTGTTTATTTTGACTTTACACTCATTTGTGTTCATGTATTGAATTTAGCTCAACTTTATGCTCATCTGGAGCCAAATATCACCGGTTCAGGCGTTGTCGTACTTTTCACGTCGCTA